CTCCCCCCCCCCCCCCAAGCATACATGCTCTACTGTGAATTGCTCTGCTGTGTAAAGAAATCTCTAGAAATGTCTCTAATATCTCTATCTTATCGGGATAAATTAGTTTCCTTGTAGGGAACAATTTCTAGGTGTGGGATGGACACACTGCCCCTCAGGTATATCCTGTTCACATGGTAAGCTTGAATACAGCTCCAGTTTTTATTTTAAGCGACTTAAGATTTCCTTGTTTTGGAGAAACTATAGTACTCTGCTCTGGATTCTAGAGTCTAGAAGAAACTGGGGAAGCTGCTTGTAGGTGAAGGTGTCCTTACACACCTCCTTGTAATTTTGCAGTTCGTGCACATGGGTAACTGGAAGGTAACTTCCCCTGGTGATCTGTGATTCTTACCACACCATAGCTGACCCATTAGAATAAAAGAGGATAGATCAGAGAAGATTTGGTTGATTTAGGGTTAATGAAATCATAATCCATGTTTCAAAGAAAACTGTGCTCTACCCAGGTAGATAGTCAAGAGCTATGTGACATAAAAATGCTTTATTTTTTAAAAAAATATTTTTATTGACTTCAGAGAGGAAGGGAAAGGGGGAGGGGAGAGAGAGATAGAAACATCAATGATGACAGAGAACCATTGATCAGCTGCCTCCTGCATGCACCACACTGGGGATTGAGCCCACAATCTAGGCATGTGCCCTGACCGGGAATTGAACCGTGACCTCCTGGTTCATAGGTCGACGCTTAACCACTGAGCCATGTCAGCTGGGCAAAAATGCTTTAGTTTGTTTTAAAAGATAAACCAACTTTGCTCAACATAGTTCCAGGCTCCAAAAGCACTATTAGCCCTTTTGAAATTTGAACTTATTTAAAAAATAAAAAAGCCCTGGAAATGGTGTCTTCATTGGGCTAGTCCAAGTCCAACCTGGTGACAGAAATAAACACTGACCAGGAGTTCATGTTTGATTTTAAAATGTATCCAATCATCTCTTGGCTAACGTTTTTGTTTTATGGCTTCATTTCAGAAGCAGTATGAGAATAAATTCTCGCCACAAGAGGGAGCTGCACCATGGGAAAATGAATGGGCTGTTCTGGAACGTGTCTTCTTATTCTGGGGTCCTCCTAGCCCTGGGCTACCAATTTCTAGAGGTAGCAACCACGAGTGTCTTTCATACACAAACCAACCAACCCAGAGCCCTCAGGGCAACCAGCTTCTTTATAGGCTCTTCCACCCAGTCCACTCTCTCCACAGAGCGAGGCTCGAGACAACTAGAGGCGGCCCCTGCACCCAGAGCCCGCTAAAGTGATTCAGACCAGACCTCTAAACCTGCTTGCCCTGCCTTGCCTGCCTTCTCCCAGAAGCCACAACAAAGGCCCCTGCCCACACTTCCCCGCCCTCTGCCTCCTGCCTGTCCCTGCTGCTTCCTCAGGTGGCCCCCTGCTTGACCTGCCCTCTCCGCCTGGGAACTGTATCTATCTTGTCTCTTGATCTGTTGGCCACCCCTTACCTGGAAAAGAAAACCTACATTCTGAAGTGGCTAACCCCACATCTCAGGAAATTCTATTGTCTCTGCCTTTAGGGCATATCCAAAATTCAACCACTTCTCACCACCATCACCCTTTCCATCCCACCCACCATCATGCTGTACTTCCTGTCTGTCTCTGCCTGGGTCCCCACTCCCGCTCCATCTACCCTCCACCTGCTCACACCCAGAGCGGCCCTGTTACCCCAGGGAGGCAGGTCTTACCACTCTTCTGCTCCACTGGAAAGGCTAATAACAATGAAAATAGCAAAGGAGTGTTTGGAACCTTCAGTAAACTAAGTGAACAAGGCTGGTTTGTATAGAATTTGATTTTTTTCAAATATATTTTATTATTGATTTCAGAGAGGAAGGGAGGGGGAGAGAGAGAGAGATAGAAACATCAATGATGAGAGAGAATCATTGATCGGCTGCCTCCTGTACACTCTACACTGGGGATCGAGCCCGCAACCCAGGCATGTGCCCTGACTGGGATCGAACCACAGCCTCCTGGTTCATAGGTTGATGCTCAACCATTGAGCCATACCAGCTGGGCGGTTTAGTATCTTACATTATTGGTTGACCTCTCATCACACTGAGTTAAAAACAAAGCCCTGAAGAAGGCTTTGGGGGCCGTATAGAATTGGATTCCCTGGCCTGCCTGTTCTTGGACACTCCACGCAGCTCCCCCTCAGGGTTTGGCTCCTTACAGCTCCTCCTGGACCCAGACCCCCCAGCTTGGGCTCTCTCCTCTCAGTGAGGTCTCCCAATCTCACCCCTACAGCCCTCTCCCAACACCCCTTGCCGCCCCCCCCTCTTGTTCCATAGCACTGACCTGTCACTTCCTGGCTGGTTGGGACTCTGTTTTTGTGCACTAATTTGTTAATGGCCTAGAATAGGGACTGCCAGGTGGTAAAGCTTGAGAAATATGTCTTGAATGAATGAGCAAACTGAGAACATGATTTAAAAAAACAACACTCTAGTTCAGTCATTCTCATGTGAACTATTTGGAGAATGCTCTGTGTGCCCAGTTAGATACACCTGCAGGACCCCAAAGCCGGTCATCTGAGGGGAGGCCACCTAGATGGTTCGCTCAACGAGCTGTCCGTCGTCGTCGACAACGTGTGGCACGCAGCTGGTGTGACCTGCTGGCTTCCCCGGTGCAGAGAGGGGGGACCAGTGAGGCCGGTGTGTGTTTTGTATTCCCGTCTGCCAGGTAGTTTCCCTGATCATCTCATTTACATTCAATCCCCTTCACACTTATGTCACCAACCAGAGACGCTTCGGGTTGATCTTGCTAATTTTTCTGGATTTATGGGTGTACGTGGAGTCATGACAAATATACAACAAACTCCTAATCTTTCCATACTCCTCCTCAGGTCTTACTACAATGCTTTGAAAACGGGAAATGGTTAGTAATATTTTTAAACAACTTAAAATGTAAAGTTTTGCTTAGTAATCGAAATATATAGTTGGATGGGTGATATGAAAACCGTTATTCCCTTTCTGCCCTTGACGACCAAAGAAAGACACTGGCAATGATTGTATATTTTGTTTAATACTTGCATTGTTTCTATAGCGCAATTATAGCAATCTTTAAATTTACTTTTCATTACAAATATTTGTCAAGTTTTGTTTCAGAAACATTTTTCCTACTCTCTTGCACATGCACCCAGACACACTACAAAAAAACTCATTCATAACTCAGTAAGGGCAAACATTATTCATGTAAACATCTTTCATTAATTTCCCATAATTTTAAAAAATCATAGAATTATAGATATTGAATAAGGCTCATAGATTTAGTTCAAATTCCACAGAAGACCAGTCAAAAATGCTCATTAACTGTGGTGGGGTTAACTTTTGGTTGCAATAAATGCTGAAAGCGTACCCCTGGCTTCCAATCCGTAAACATACCTCACAACCTCATAAATGCATTTCACAATAAAAAGAGAAGGTAGGAAAACCAGGAGGAAAACTTTTGAAGTAGGGAGCTCAGAACCACGAACCTAATTTCTTCTGTGATAAGCAGGCATTACGTACTCCCTGTATTTCCTAGTCCATGAATCAAGATTGATTACAGTGACCCAAAATGTAACCAAGCCAATGTTAAGATACAGTGGCGTGTGTGGACATATTGCTAGTATACACAGTGAAATTTTTTCATAAAATTGGTCATGTCATTCTATCCAGGACCAAAGCAGAAAAAAGAAAAACCCCACTCAAGTTGAAAACCATTGTAAAGGAGTGTTTTAGTAACGTCAGCGTCAGGGGAGCTGGGAGGTATGTCCCAGGGGTGTGATTGGTCTTGGTCTTGAAGTCACAGACGAGGAAGCAAGGATTGGCGTTATCCGAGGACGTCTCTCTCTGGCTGGAAGTTTGGTGCTAACGTGCATAGTCTCCCAGAGCTGAGACAGGAAAGGTTCTGTGCTGAGAAATGGGCCCCTTGCCAGCTGCGCCCTCCCCCTTCCTCTCTGCGAGCTGGAGGTCAGGAGGCAGGGGCTGCTAGCAACACCGTGAAGTCCCACCCCGGGGTCTGAACCCCAACTCCACTGAGGGCAGCCTCCCTGACATGTGTGACTAGGCAGTAAGGGTGGCGGTGGACGGTGGCCGGAAAACCCAGCTCTGAGGTTCACACGGCCACGTCTGGCTTCTGATTCTGCTGCCCTGCAAAGAAATTGTGCTCTGGATAAAATGCACCAGTGTCTCTAATGCCTTGAACTCACCCCAGGCCCCCAGAGGCCAGGAGTGATGTCACTGAAGCGTGGACACACCTCCACGAGCACCTAACTTACACCAGGACGGGCTGAGGCACTGGGGAAGCCTACAAGCTCTCTCCACATCAGGTGCAACAACGCAGGGAAGTTGCCTCGGGTCAGAGTTAATTGTAGGCTTTTGATTTTTAAAAATCAAAATTGATCTGCATTGTATCTCAATAGACTCAGATAAATCTCACCAAAAAAATTTGTAATTTGTTTAAACAGCACTGGAATAATTCAACTTCATTTAAATATAGTCATTCTACCATGAAAATATTTCATACAAACATCTATTTACATACGAACACATTAAAATTTGTGAACAGGGTTTCCACCCTTGTGGTTGTATGGCTTGAAATCGTTTCATTGCTTTGAGTCTGTATGCACACATTTGGCAAAATAAAACCATTAAAATTTAGAGTTTTTAAACTAAAAAAGGTACACCGAGGCTCCACCTCCTACAGGGAAAGATCAAAGAAAAAACAAACAAACCCCAATCTATCAAGGTACCTCAAGTAGATGTGGATTTAATGTATTTTGTGAACCTTTGATCTGTGGCAAAGAAACATCACAACCATCAGCTTTGCAACATAGTTTTTGCTCGTGTTTTTCTAAAAGGAAAAATGTCTGGCTTCTAATTCACTGCTCTTAAGACAGAAACTTGAGGCAACTGTTTTAAAACAAAGCAAAACACAACTTCACCTTCTTGGCAGATCTTAAATGCATTTTGCAGGTGAGTGACTGAAACTTTTCTATATTAAAGGGAAGTTACTAAAGTGCCACAGCTCTCTCACTGGCGAGACGACCCTAGAATTCACTGTTCACAGTTCCTGCCATTTTAACAGTTACAACTGCACGTTGGGATGGTGACACTTGGCCTCCCCCTGGGCCTTTTCAGATGGTTGGTGGGAAGGAAATCGTTTTTCAAGCATGAAGGACCTCCGGAGGGCAAAGAAGTGTTACCGCAGCCCCCGCAGGTTCACAGAGGCCTTGGATAAGGCAGCCCAGGCGCGAAGCCGTGAACATAAGAACAGGTCCTACAGAACTCAAGTCTTCCTGGCCTGCTCTCGTACTTCCATCCTTTCTTTGCGTGGGAATTCAGTCCTTACAGTTGTTTTTGTCAGTCCGTCCCGATGTCCATTCGGGGACATACTCCCACGGATGAGTTCCTATTCCTAACGAACACAAGGTAACATTTCACCCCAGAAAAGCTGCTAAGGAAAGTTCTGGTCATGCAGGGGCTGGGCTGAGAGGCTCTGAGCGAATCCCCTCGTGACCCGGCAGGCTGCACACCCACGGGCACCGGCCGGTTTGGGGGCGAGAAAAAAGTGACTTCTTTATTCCCCTGGACATGGGATCGTCCCCTTTCCTGCTGTGATTAGGACGCTGAGGACACAGCCAGCCCCGGAGGCTCTGACGCGTTTCCTCCCGCAGCGGATGTAAGGACTCGCAGGCTTTCCCCTCAGGCTTGGCTCCAACTGGGAACAACCCTCGCTTACCCACCAGTTACTTCCTTAGGGACCGTCAACTCCCTCGACTTCTTTTCCTACCTCCAGGTCACGGTGAACCCCAGCCTCCTCCCACTCTCCCCGTGACAAAGCCTCACACCTGGGAGTGTGTGCGCGTGTGTGGCAGGGGGACGGCAGGAGCGACAGAGCCAGAGGGGACACAGGGTAAATGGAGAGAGGTCCACACAGACGGGAAGACAGACGGGGCGGGTCCGAACAGAGGGTGCTCAGAGCCAGAGAGACCTCCAGGGAGGAGCTGCGAGCACAGAGGAGAGAGGGGGAGGTCGGCTGGGGGTGTAGGTGCGCACAGACACCAGGCCTTGTCACAGACGAGGGAGGAAGAGGAAGGAGAGGGCAGGAGAAGAGCCAGCAGACCCGAGGGGAGGAGGGAGAAAGACGGAGAGAGGCTCCGCTGGGTTTGTTTCCTGCGGGGCTTTAGATGCAGAGTGTTTCCGTCCAATACGTAATGAATGGATGGTTGGTTACTCACTACTTACAACCCTTCAATCCCTCTCATCATAAAAAAAAAGAAAAAGAAGAAAAGTCCCATTTGAATGGGGTAATTAGAGTAGCCCATTAGGACAGAAGTCATACCCCCTTGCAGTCTCAGGAATGAAGTCCTTCCCAGGGTGGCTGCCTCGGAGGTGTGGCCCCGCCATCCTCTCCCTGACCTCCCTCCCTGACCTGACTCCACAGCACAACCCCCTGGGGTTCATTAAAGCCACCTTTCTCCCGCTGACACCCCCTCGCGTGGGGACCCATTGGAAGGAAAGCACCTGTCAGAACACAAGTCCCAAGGCCGCCTGTCTGTCAGCTTACAGAGCGGCCTCTTCCTACAGAATAGAAGCGATCCTATCCTGGTGCCTTTGAATCTGAAAGCAGTCTTCGGTCCTTTGTGGGACATCTTTCTGGCAGCCCTGAAACCTCTCATGTGGACCATCAGCCTATCTCCCTGAAACCAGGCCGCCCAGCTGCTCCGGCCCTGCTGGGGAGGGAGCCCCCGCAAGCCTGGGCTGCACACAAGAGGAAGGGCGGCTTTTGTCACCGTCCGGAGGGCTGAGTCCCGTGCCCAGGGGCTGCCTGCACTGAAGGCCGTGAGAGCCTGGGTCAGGCACATCTGGGCAATTCTTCCTAAGAGCAACGCGTAACGGACAGGAACTATCAGACTGTCTTCTGCTGGGTTCTTTGCTCTTGTCCTCCTCCCAGCAAACCTGCTCTCCTCAGCCAGAGCTCACTACCAGCTACAGCTTGGAAGGCTTCATTCAGCTTTCGGGACCAAAATGGTCAGGTGACAGCTGCCGGTCGAGTCACTGCTGCTCGGCAGACCTCCCAGCCACCCCGCGGAAGACCCAGCTATCGCACGTGGCGAGGGCGCCCACAGAAACCCCAAACTCTCCGAATTCAGTCAGAGCAATCCCAGTTATGTTATATACCTAATTAGCTAAACTAAAAACAGGTTTTTTTTTCTCCTTATTTCTGCAGTCGTGATTACACATGGCTTGCAAAAAGGCTGAAATGCTATTGATATCGTTGCTTTAAAACTATACAGGTGTTACTCTGAATTCACAATGCTCTGAAGCAGGTAAGTGCTTTGAAATTACAATGATGAAGAGTTTTAGCATTAAGGGTTGATTTGTACCTAGTGATCAGTATGTCTCTCTTAATAGTAGCGATTAAAAAACAAACAAAAACAAGACAACTTGTGAACTCTGTGTTAGAATTCAAGCTTGCTATTTGACTTCTGAATTCAGCGCACTGTGCCACAAGCCAGACTGCTCTATGTTATGTACATTTAATGTGTATGCCCAGAGAAAAGAATTGCTAACGCTATTGAAGATATTGCAAAATCGCCACAGTTACTGCTTAGAAATACTAATTTCCCTCTCTTCTTTCTTAAAATATATATATTACAACTCTTCCATAAACTTAATGCAAACAAAGTAAACTCTTTCTTCTCACATCTTAATGCAAAGATATCTTTGTTTACATGCGAGAATAATAATTCTATAATAATACCCCGGCTCTATGAGCCAGTTCTTTAATATTAGGACATAATAATGAAACAATGATATAGAAAGAGCCAGAGAGACCTACACACTGGCACTGACACAAAATCCATTTGGGAGTTTTCCCTTGTGAAAGGTATCTAAGATAGGGAACAGGACTGAGGGTGAAATGGCTCAAAAGTGGGGTTCTGTTTGCTAGGGGGAAAAAAACAAAGCCATTCTATTGCAAGATACAGATCAAAGGTTAAAAGGCAAATTATACTACATTTAGAGAATAAAAATGTAGTAATTCTCTATTCTCCATATGGCCCATCTGCAGGCGTGGTGACAGCACGCTTTGCATTGGCCATTGGAAAAAAACATCATGGAAAAACCACTGACTAAAAACGACACAAAAGCCCCCTTTCCCCTTTTCAGTCTAATCATTTGGCATCTCTGACTGTGGTCCAGATTTAGACTTGAACCACCCAAGAACCTCCTGCTGTCTATGTCAGTGCTCCACAATGCCTCTCAGAAGGACGCTGCTGCGAGGCTAGCTAATTTTAAATCTGGTATGAGTAATACAGTCAAACCTAGTTAGTATGCGAGAAGGTGGCTGTTGCGAACGCAGAGTGAGAGGATGTGTGATGTCACGGCACGAGCAGTCCCTGGTTGTCCCGTAGTTGGATGAACATAGTGCATAGATCCAAGTTTCTGTTCCCGGCCTCTGAAGCCCAGGGCCTGGCCTTCACTTCTGCTGGGTGGCCTGGAAGGCCTTCAGCTCCACCTGGTACCACTCGGGGGCTTCGGGCCCACTCTTCCCCGGGGGGCTGTGGTCATAGCCATAGGCCACGGTGAGCTCCTCGTCGGCCTCCACTGCTCGGAGTGTGCGGATGCATTTGATGGGCCCGAAACGGGGGTGGACAAACCTAGACATCAAGATGTGCACAGTCATTCCCAGGCAGGTTAGAAGCAAAGGCTGGGGTGTGGGGGCTGATGCGGAATCTCCCACGTGCCCCTCCCGGACACCACATGTAGGTCCTCAATGTGGGGTCCCCAGATCACCCAGGAGGCGCGAACAGGGGAACCTCAGCCCCATGGAGACCTGCAGGGTTGGCATCTGCATTTGATGTCTCATGCATTTACTGTCTCCTTTTAAACAAAGGCATGCACTGAGACATCAAAGAAGTTTCCAGGTGATTCCCAGCCACGTGAGCGTTTCCGAAGCACTGCTCTATCTTCCTTTGTGAGCATATTTGGCACTTGGTACTTATAAACCAGCACTCACAGTCAACAACAAAAGTCTGTCCTTAATGAGAAATCGAACCCAGCGCAGCCTGCCCGCATTTCAGCTCACCTGGCCTGTACCATCGGATTACTTCGCTGTACCTGGCGGAGGGCAGGGGCGGCTTTACCAGGGCATTGGGAGTTATAAGAAAGGGCCCTGTGGATTTCCAAAACCAAAAAGCTCTGTACTCCACCCCATACAGATAGAGGTTGTATTCTTTTCTAGCAAACGTGTAGATGAAGATTTCTCTGAGCGGGAAAGCTAGGCCTCCCTGCCACCCTGTGTAACAGTTCCCCGGAGAGCCTGCTGCGAGGGGCAGCCTCTCATCCCAGACCGACCGAGTCCCGCAGAAGCAGAGGCAGGACTCACCGTGTCACGGTCCTCTGTCAAGGCTCCCCACCCAGCTCACCCGCCAGCTCGCTTCAGGACAGGAGATAAATAAGCAGTGGACTCCCCTAACAGCTGCCGAAACCCAAAATGGGGGTGCGTGAGGCACAGCCAGAGAAATGGGCTTTGTTTTCACATGCGTCTGGTCAAAGTCTCACGCATTTACTGTCACATTTTGAACAAAGGGCATCGAGACAGTTTCCAGACCTAAAGTCAGGAGAAGTTTCCAGACCTAAAGTCAGATTGGCACATGGGTCATGATTATGTCCTTGGCTGGTTCCTTCTGTCGGTGATGGGAATGGAGTGTGGCTGTGGCTTAAGGACATCATGTGTGTGGTTAAAAGGACCAATGTCAACCTCATTCGAGGGGTCCCCTACTTTTACCCAACTCAGGGGTCATGTTTTCTGAAAAGCACATTTGAGTTGGGGGGTCAGAAAACTTTAACGTGAGTCCTGGTTCCACACATGATCGTGCCTCCTCTTGGATAGCTCAGCTCTATGTCTGAATCTCACTTTCCTCACGTGCAGTAATCCTTATCCAACATGAGTGGATGTTGTGACAAAATAGGGTCACATATCTAAAGCACCTCACGGTACCTGGCACAAAGTGAGGACTCAACTAATATTAGTTACTATGGTGAGCCCGTGCACGTGTGAGAGCCTGTGCACGTGTGAGAGCATGCACGTGTGAGAGCTTGTGCACGTGCATAAGAATCTGTGCACACGTGAGAGCGTGTGATGTGCATAAGCATGTGCACATGCACAGAATTCTCAAGTTGTGCTCCCTCACAGAGCAGACCCCTGGACAAGGGATTCACGAATTCCTTATTAAAATCACAACTCTGTCTCAAATTAAAATATTAAAAAAATAATAATACTCCTAAAACGGAGTTCTAGTTAATGTTCTGGTGCAGGAAGAAAATCCCGTGAGCAGCTATGACTTCTCTTGTAATCCTCTTTTCATTTTCCTGCTCACCATCATTATTTTTAGAGTAGAACATGGACAGACTGAAAAGAAAGAACTCAACTTCAGCTGTTGGTTCTTCAAGGCGGTACTAAAACACAAAAGACAAGAACTCTTAACTCCTTTGACCCAGAGGCCTGCGGTTCCTGTCGGGGATCTGGGACAGTGACTGGAGTTGCCCCACCCAGTTCCTGGGAGGACCCGCCGACCTAGAGTAAGTGGTGGTAAACGTTAGCTGCACAGCCGCTTGGCCCCTTCTTGACATGTCACCTGTACTTACAGCCAGGAAAGTAGTTCTTGACTATCCATTGGGCGTTTGTACCCGACTACGGTTAAAACAGCTTACAGAGGCGTGTCGTTTTGTTTGTGTTGAGTGTGCATAACAATGCCACTGAGTTTAGAAACAAATGAATGCCATGGATCGGTATCTGACTTTTATATTTGATTGTTCTTCAGGGAGTCTCTCTGCCCTAAATAACGAATTGGTCACATTGGGCTTGAAAAAATAACCCTGAAGAATACAGGGACTTGATTTTGCACAAATGGTTGCTTCTCTTGTCTCCTGTTCCCTCTTCTTTTTTGGTGAAAAAAATTATCTTTGCCGTGAAATCACAGAACTGATTTGTTTTAAAACAGCAGTCTAAGTAGCATTTATTATTGTTGTTACCACTGCTTTAAAGGGTTGTTGTTAAGCTGTGTGCAGCTTGGAACGATGCTTTGGCCTAATTCACGTTGGCCACGAAAGCCTTGGAGTTAATAAGAGTGTCAGTTTCATTTCACATGACACACGCATTGCCATTTCTATCTGCCCTTTAAAAAGAAGTTGTAGCTTCAGTACTTGTTGCTGACTGCCAAGGAAAGCAAGTCACAGCCAGAACAATTTTTAAGCTGTCTCAGGCATGTAAGAAGGGACAGTCAAATCCTGGCAATTTTCCTGTAGGTTAAATGCACGTGATCTGATCCCGGTAACGTTAACAAGCTGGAGGGCTGAGGGACTGCCTGCAAGCTACAGAGGAGCAGGAAGGTTGCGTGGCGGGCGCCCTGGCTCCCAGGAAGAGCTGCCATTCTCACGCTCAGCCAAGGACAGCAGTGACGACAGTAAAGAATCCCAACTGTACCCTTTAAGGAACAGTCAGAGACACTTGACTCTGGGAAGAGAACATTCAGGGGGAACATAAAACTACTGAAATATTTGTAGGGCTACCATGTGGAAGAGAGATTGACATGCCGCACCAGAAAGAAAGGGAGACGGTTAGGGACAAGAACTGATGTTACAGGGAAACCTATTTGGGCTCAAAAAATAAAATAAAATTCATTCAGAGAGCCCCCAAACTAATTTCAGAATATCTGTTTGTCCAGACAGCCACCTTTGTGGATCACAGCAAGCTCCCCGTCAACAGAGGTTTCCAAGAAGAGGTTCCCTGAGCAGTTGGGAGAGGAGTCAAACCCCAAGAGGAAGGTAGGATTATTTGATTTAAAAAAACAACAACAGCTTTGTTGAGATATAATTTGCATCTCATAAAATTCACCCATTTATCGTATACAGTGCAGTGGTTTTCAGTGGTGCACCCATCACCACTATCACATTTTTAAAAAGCTCCCCCATTTTCAGCAGGCATCAAGCCCCAATTCTCCCCACTGCCCCCAGCTCTGGGCAACCACTCATCTGCATTTGGTCTCTAGGAATTTGGCCGTACTGGACAATTCATGTAAATGGTCTTTCATGACTGGCTTCTTGCACTTGGCATAATGTTTTCAAGGCTCATCCATGTCATAGCATTTTTCAATACTTCATTCCTCTTTATTGTCAAATAATAGGGACTCTGGTTTTATAGGTCTTTTACAACACCGAGACCTCGTGCTTGCCATATGCTTAGGAGTCTCTCCTCCTTCCTTTCACGTCATGAAAGCATTCCCTACCCTCCATTATGCAGAGTAATTTCAATTTTTACTATCATTTCAAATAACACTCTCCTTAATTTTCCAGAATGAGACAAGGAAGGGCAAAAAAGCCACCGTGAAACAGCAACTACTAAATACAGTATTTCCGTAGCCTTCCTCCTCTTCAAAGCACTTTCCATTTCTTTGCCTGCCCAGGCCAAAGGGTGGTGATATAGATTCTGAGTTTCAAGTCAGAACCGTGAGGCCCTGGGCAGGGGACCCTCGAGTATTCTGAGGGAGCAGCCTCCTCTGGGGCTGGGCACACCTGTGACACGCCCTCCTGTCTCAGGGCCTGAGGCACAGAGCGCCCAGCAGCCAGGCGTCATACTCACATGTCGTAGGTACAGTTTGGCGTGAAGGAGTGATTTGCCTTGTGTCCCAAGGAGGCACAGTACTTGGACACGTGGTTGTAGGGCTCAGGCACGTCGATGACCGTTTCTTCATCAAGCGAGAGGGTGTTCCCATTGAGGGCCCAGTCCCTGCTGTCAACCTGCAAAAACCACGCAAGTGAGCATCAGAGAGGACCTTTCTCTCCAAAGCTCAGAGATATTGACTCACTTGCCCTGAAACTTCCTGGTTTGAGTGCCAGGAACATGAAAAGAGCCTAAGGCATTGCTCTGCTGTTGATGGTGCAAAAGGCATCCGTGGCCATCACCAGGGAGCTCAACTTATTATTTATTGATTTTTTCCTTATCTTATATGAAAAGAAGGATGAAAAGTCTCTTACCAAGACACACAAATATGACCAGATGTTCCTATGTTTATTTTTTCACGGCATGCTGAAACCTGTTACCTCAAAAGACCACCAGCAAACTCAAGTTTTCACACATCCATTTATTTTTTTAAGTTGCCCAAACAAAGCAGAGTTGAAGCCTTCTTTCAAGGGGGCACCTCACCACCATAAGAGTTTAAGTCTCATACGCTTAATCCAAGTCAGGATGTGGAGTACAGCTGTGCTAAGAGCATTAAACTTTTTGTCTTTAGGGAGATACTTAAGGAAGTTAATTGTAAAGTGAAGAAATAAGAACAAACAATATGAAATCTGGGAAATATATCAAAGATTGTGTCTTAAAGGAGGTGATCCAACTCTTTAACTTTTTATTTTTAAAATTTTGGGGGGCAGGGGGCAGTAGAACCCTTCCTGGCTACATGTAGGCGACTGTATGCTTCTGCACCTCAGAGATATTGACTCACTTGCCCTGAAACTTCCTGGTTTGAGTGCCAGGAACATGAAAAGAGCCTAAGGCATTGCTCTGCTGTTGATGGTGCAAAAGGCATCCGTGGCCATCACCAGGGAGCTCAACTTATTATTTATTGATTTTTTCCTTATCTTATATGAAAAGAAGGATGAAAAGTCTCTTACCAAGACACACAAATATGACCAGATGTTCCTATGTTTATTTTTTCACGGCATGCTGAAACCTGTTACCTCAAAAGACCACCAGCAAACTCAAGTTTTCACACATCCATTTATTTTTTTAAGTTGCCCAAACAAAGCAGAGTTGAAGCCTTCTTTCAAGGGGGCACCTCACCACCATAAGAGTTTAAGTCTCATACGCTTAATCCAAGTCAGGATGTGGAGTACAGCTGTGCTAAGAGCATTAAACTTTTTGTCTTTAGGGAGATACTTAAGGAAGTTAATTGTAAAGTGAAGAAATAAGAACAAACAATATGAAATCTGGGAAATATATCAAAGATTGTGTCTTAAAGGAGGTGATCCAACTCTTTAACTTTTTATTTTTAAAATTTTGGGGGGCAGGGGGCAGTAGAACCCTTCCTGGCTACATGTAGGCGACTGTATGGCTTCTGCACAAATAGGAGTAGGGGGTCTTTGTACAAGGCACCCTGCCCACGGTCAGAAGTTAGAGTCTGATAGAGTCCAAATGGACCGCAATTTTTTAGACACTGGGTATAGTCCAGTACGAAGCAATTACTATCTTATTGACACATTCCACTTTCTATAAAATAGTTGTGGAGTTTAAAAAAATAACTTTAAGGCTCGATATAAGGAAGAAAATATCTGCTGTATCTGAAAGTTTGTGTTGTCCCCCCAATTCATTGAAGCCTAATCCCCAATGTGATGGTATTAGGAGGTAATTACCCTTCCTGGCTACATGTAGGCGACTGTATGGCTTCTGCACAAACAGGAGTAGGGGGTCTTCGTACAAAGCATCCTGCCCAAGGTCAGAAGTTAGAGTCTGACAGAGTCCAAATGGACTGCAATTTTTCAGACACTGGGTATAGTCCAGTACGAAGCAATTACTATCTTATTGACAAGTCCCACTTTCTATAAAATAGTTGTGGAATTAAAAAAAATAACTTTAAGTAAGGCTCGATATAAGGAAGAAAATATCTGCTGTATCTGAAAGTTTGTGTTGTCCCCCCAATTCATTGAAGCCTAATCCCCAATGTGATGGTATTAGGAGGTAATTAGGTCATGAGGGCAGGCAAAGCCCTCATGAATGAGATTATCGCCCTTATAAAAGACCCCAGAGAGCTCCACCATCCTTCCTGCCATGTGAGGTGACAGAAAAAAGGACTTTTTATTTTAAAAATTTTTGGGGGCAGGGGGCAGTAGAACCCTTCCTGGCTACATGTAGGCGACTGTATGGCTTCTGCACAAACAGGAGTAGGGGGTCTTCGTACAAAGCATCCTGCCCAAGGTCAGAAGTTAGAGTCTGACAGAGTCCAAATGGACTGCAATTTTTCAGACACTGGGTATAGTCCAGTACGAAGCAATTACTATCTTATTGACAAGTCCCACTTTCTATAAAATAGTTGTGGAATTAAAAAAAATAACTTTAAGTAAGGCTCGATATAAGGAAGAAAATATCTGCTGTATCTGAAAGTTTGTGTTGTCCCCCCAATTCATTGAAGCCTAATCCCCAATGTGATGGTATTAGGAGGTAATTAGGTCATGAGGGCAGGCAAAGCCCTCATGAATGAGATTATCGCCCTTATAAAAGACCCCAGAGAACTCCACCGTCCTTCCTGCCATGTGAGGTGACAGAAAAAAGGGGGCCTTCTATGAAACAGGAAGTGGGCTCACACCTTGATCTTGGACTTTGGGGCCTCCAGAACTCTGAGAAATAAATGTATGTTGTTGATAAGCCACCCAGTCTACTGTATTTTTGCTACAGCAATCCAAAGACTGCTATAAGACAATATCCAATCAATTTTTACAAAAAAGCCTGTTTGTTCCTTTGTATTTCTAGTGAATACTACAGTTAAAGGGACTAATGAAAAAATTAAGGGAGTTTGAAACAAAGCCTTTGAACCAACCAAGTTGATTTTGCACTTCTACCTCACTCACCTCCTGGTGTGTAATTCGGACGCCATTATAAAAAGACATAACAGTGTTAGGTCCCACTGCGACCTTTGAAAACAGTCCTTCTCCAGCACTGGAAATGAGAGATTCAGCAACATAAACCCTAAAGAGCAAAAACAGGCAAATAATGATTCTTTAAGTTTGATGTATCTTTGATGGACTCCTTACATCAACCACCAAAATATCATATGGCTACTGAATCCAAAACATCAGTTCATAGTAATCCAATGAGGAAGGAAGAAAGGAAAAGTTGAACCACAATATTCTGGCATTGGAAACTGAAGAACTGGCACTTATGTATCTCTTAAGAATGGTGTTTAAAATTTGCTCTCTAATAAGAGGGTTGTTGTGATATATTCATAAAGCAACTCAGTGCTTGATATAAGTTTTAAAAATTTTAAAATGTTTTTAGTTAAGGTCAATTTTCACTCTCTTCTTGGACAATATATATATATATATTTCCCAAAGCTAATTAAAGCTATACCCAAGTTTCTCAGAGCTAAATAGGAGGGAAAGACTTTAAATTAAATCCCCGGATGAATGTTTTATATGGAAGAGTGACAAACAGTTAATAAAATCTATCCACAGCTTAGCTGTGACCTGCTTTCTACAGGAACGTGGGCGGAAGTGACTGCATGCCAGGTCTCAGGTGTTAGGGAGCATGGCAAGTTTCTGCCCGCCTCTTCCGGAGTTTCCATCATCTTCTCAAGAAGAAGATGGCCCAGGGGGCTGTTGCTCCTTCAGCCCGAGTCTTGGAATGAAGACACGTGAAGCAGACCTGAACCCACTTGAAACCTGGAGTCCAGCCTAGTCCTGCTGAGCTGAGTTGAGCCCAGTCAAGAATGGCTGAACCTCAGCCAATCTACAGAACCACGAGTGCAAAATAGAAGGTTTACATCCATAAACCACTGATGGTTTTGAGGATATCAGTATGCAGCAGCATCACAATGACAGCAGCAAAATAGACTGATACATACGGTAATATGCTGTTGTGTTTCAGAGCTAACAAGTGACCAAACCCTTCCCTTTGTAAATGGGCCAGAACCTCATGTCAAGAAAGGGAGCATTCATTCATTATGACATTGTGGGGTCAGCCCTAGCTCCTTCAGCCCGAGTCTTGGAATGAAGACACGTGAAGCAGACCTGAACCCACTTGAAACCTGGAGTCCAGCCTAGTCCTGCTGAGCTGAGTTGAGCCCAGCCAAGAATGGCTGAACCTCAGCCAATCTACAGAACCAGGAGTGCAAAATAGAAGGTTTACATCCATAAAACATCGATGGTTTTGAGGATATCAGTATGCAGCAGCATCACAATGACAGCAGCAAAATAGACTGATACATACGGTAATATGCTGTTGTGTTTTGGAGCTAACAAGTGACCAAACCCTTCCCTTTGCAAATGGGCCAGAACCTCATGTCAAGAAAGAGAGCATTCATTCATTATGACATTGTGGGGTCAGCCCTGTCAGTTAAACCAGGGAAAAGGCCTATGTCTGAGAGATAGGAACAGAATAGAAACGGAATGGAAACATGCTTTGTAAGCCAGATTTACAAAAAGGGAGGCCAAGAGAGAACCACCTGCAGATGGTGCTCTTACTCATCAACTGGCCAGTTGCTAGGGAGTACGAACCCCAAGCAGGGCGCCAGAAGTCATACCAAGAAGTAGAAACTGAATTTAGACAAGACAGGAAATGGAGCAGGACTTCACACTCTGGGAGTGAGCTTATAGACTAGAGTCACTAGACACTTGTAGTTTATAGGCTGGAATGCTTTTATGCTTCTTAAATTTTCTTTGTTTCGCTCCTGTTCTCCCTTAGTGAATAAATTGTGTTGTGTTTCACACCCTCTCAGCTGGGCTGAGTAGAAAAGAAGGCATCTGGTCCTGGGCCAAGCTAAGCTTTAAACAGTGTGAAATGCTCTCCAAGGGGCCAGCATGCGGCTGCAACACAAATTGTGACACCAGAGCCGGGAGAAAGGGGACACCTGGGCAGGGCAGGGCTGGCTACCTGGCCCGAGTGCCTCTCTATGGAGAGGCTTCATTCTAGGACAGACACATGGGCTGTTCTGGGCTTTATGGGTGGAGACATGCTCTTAGAGGGACAGATTCTAAATGAGAATAAAAACACTCTTCCTTAGAACATATGAACTTTTTTTTCTGGTCAGGTACTCGGCCTGAGCAGCGAGCCACAGAGGGTCATGGGTTCCCATCACTAGGGCTATTTCACCTCCCACAAACAGGGCCATTAAAACCACAAGGAGAAAATTACCTCTCTGATTCATATGGGTCTGGAAGAAGAGCATTAGTAGAAATGCAAGATGAAGTCGACTTATCGAAGTGGTATACGGAACCTAAAATGCAAACAAAAATGTCAGGCCAGGTACAGTCAGGGGAAAACATTGAAAACATTTCTCTCTATCCGTGGGACAGGAAAGAGTTAAATAACAAAAAATGCTATTCAAGTTATACCAACTAGAATGAAATTCTTCAATATAAGTGGACAGTTTTTAGATTTGCCCTTAAGTTTTAGTTTCAGGTGTTAATGAATAGCCATCAAGGTATCTCTTACTAGTAAATGCTATTTTTTCTTTTGGAATGTCTTTATTAAAATAGTTTAAAAAATAATTCTGTAATGAAAATATTTTAACAAAGAAAATGCTTTGTTGTGAAATTTTGAGAACTCTCTGGTCAGATCAGATTGGATAATGGTTTTAAAAATTTCTTGTGGTTTTCTTCATACTAGACAGTCTGTAGAATCCAGCCACCCAGCCCTGGCAATTGTCTCCTTCACTAAAAATAAACATTTGGCTTCACCAGAATTAAGAAGAGCAGAACTGCTTTTGATGAAGCATTTACAAAGTCATCCTATTTCTATTAAAGTGGTTCAGAAGCCAATTAGTAATTTATTCCAGAAACGATGGTCCTGGAATTAACAGCCGTCCTAGAACTAACATTGGTTCCCTGCAAAGGACTGGCCTCAGAAGATCCTCCTGGAGCCCAGCGAAGACAGATGATGCTCCAAAGGCTAATGAAGAAAGAAACAAGTTTTGGAACAGGAGACCTTGCTCCTGCAAAGTCAATTATTTTAGGCACTAAGGCATCACAAATAATTCCATTAAACAGTTCTTTAGTAGTTCCCAATGGTCATCAGGTCCTCTTTCTGTGCGTGTGTGTGTGTGTGTGTGTGGGTGTGTGTGTGTGCGTGTGTGTTTTAAACACAATCAAAACCCAAATTAATGTCTCAAACTAAAAGTTAGAAAACAATCCAGTTAGTCAGTGTCTAACCAGGAAGCAGACCACTTGCATATTTCAAAGAAAGAGATGAATTCAGGGAAATGGTTACACAGAGGATGGAAGCGCTAAGAAGCCAGACGGCACTGTGGAGCCCAGAAACTGCCAAGAGCAGGAAGCCACAACCCTAAGGCAGAGGAACAAACACAGAGCTGGGGATCCTGGAGCTCTAGAGCTGGGGATCCTGGAGCTCTAGAGCTGGGGATCCTGGAGCTCTAGAGCTGGGGTTCCTGGAGCTCTAGAGCTAGGGTTCCTGGAGGTCTAGAGCTGGGGATCCTGGAGCTCTAGAGTTAGGGTAACCCAAGGAAGCTTGAACCCTGGGGACCTTCCTGGTAGAAGATGGAATCAGGAGGCAGGACCCTGCTGGAGACACTGCTGGGAAGAGAGGGCTTCCTCCTGCTCCCTTCCCTCTTGTGTCCCCAGCCAGTGACTCTCTGTGGCCAAACCCAGACAGAAGCAGAACAGGAGCCCGGGACATGCAGCCTGCAAGGGCAGACCCTTGCAGGAAAAGCAGGGCAGGGGGAGGCGAGGCAGGCATCTGAGAGCACACTTCTGTGAGCGTGCTGGCAACGGACCAGCACACACTTCATTAAAGGAAGTTAGTTTAAAGAAGGAAAAAAAAACCCAACCACTTTTCTGTGGAATATGTGTTCCACTGTGCAAATATCCTCTTACAAATTTCCATTTCCTTTCCTTGGATTAACACTTTCATCACAAACAGACCAAGTGCAACCACATATAAAACACTGTGTTAGGGGCTGTGCCGATACAGGCAGGAGTAACATCTCTTCCTGCTTTCAAGGAGTCGGTGCCACCTTTTCCAACCCTTGCCATCCCTTCCTTCACTCCCTTAGACAGGTTGATGCTCCAGGCAGACAAAAGGCATCCTTTACTGCTCCTACTCTCCTCTATAGTTCACACTAGGGCCTTTGACTAAGCCAGTGGTCGGTAAACTGTGGCTCGCGAGCCACATGCGGCTCTTTGACCCTTGAGTGTGGCTCTTCCACAAAATACCATGTGCGGGGGTGCACATACAGTGCGATTGAAACTTCGTGGCCCATGCGCAGAAGTCGGTATTTTGTGAAAGAGCCACACTCAAGGGGCCAAAGAGCCGCATGTGGCTCACGAGTCACAGTTTGCCGACCACTGGACTAAGCCATTCATTGGCTTGACAAACATTAATTCTAAGAGATGAACCAAGACTTGAAGCTGGAGCAGGAACTAGCCAGGGACAGGGATTCCTATGTGCAGAGAAGAGATGGAGAGAAGAAGTTTCAGCCAGAGGCATAATGAGGAAATCAGCAAGAACCCAGTGGAGACCCAGAAGCAGCCTGTGGTTACAGAAGCCTAAGGAGAAAAGGTATGGTGGTGAGGTCAGTGGGGAGGCAGACCAGAAGTGTTTCAGGTGAGAGATTTGCATTCCATCTTACTCTTCCTCCCCCAACTGCTGGGCCAGATGGCCACTAGACCCTGTAAGACAAGATCCAAGATCTATGGGTTAGCCAGTGGTTTAGTAAATGTAGCTGAATGAGGCAGTGGGAGAAACAAAGTGGAAGAACATCAGAGACCTGTGCAAAGCAGCCCTGGTTCCTGACCCTCCTGATACCCAAGCTGTTAACAGTCCTTTAAAGAGCTGAGGTCTGCCCTGACTGGTTTGACCCTAACCGGTTTGGCTCAGTGGAGAGAGCGACGGCCTGTGGACTGAAGGGTCCCAGGCTCGATTCCAGTCAAGGACATGTACCTTGGTTGCGGGCACATCCCCAGTAGCGGGTGTGCAGGAGGCAGCTGATCCATGCTTCTCTGTCATTGATGTTTCTAACTCTCTATCCCTCTCCCTTCCTCTCTGTAAAAAATCAATAAAATATATTTTTTTTAAAAAAAGAGCTGAGGCCTGCCAGACCTTGCCAGCAAACGCTACTCTCCTCTTCCTCCTCCCCCCTTCTTTCCTTCCTTCTCCCCCTCCTCCTCCTTTTTTGTCTTAAGTTAGTTTGAAGAGGGTGTTTGTTATTTGCAACCACGAGTTCTAAGAAAAACCATCATTCCCCTGAGAATGATCACTCTCGCTTCCCAAAATCTGTTTCTTACTAATACCAAGAAAAATGTAATAACAAGACCTTTCATTATGATATTTTATGGTAGGTGCCAAGATCTGTATTTTATAATGAAGAAACAGGTTCTGAAAAGATAAATGAGAATAACTTCCCCAAGAATATAATATAGTAAATGTTGGAGCTAAGACTCAAATTAGGTGACATTTCCCCATTGTCATTTATTATTTTATAAAATTTTAAATTAAATTTACTGGGGTAATATTGGTTAATAACTTTATGTTAGTTTCAGGTCTACAACTCATCACCCAAAGTCTAGTTGCCTTCCATCACCATATATTTGACCCCCTTCACCCTTTTTGCAAATAAAATGACTCTTAAGTTCAAGGATCTTGCCACTAAAAATGCTGCCACTTCTGAAGTTTTAAAATTTGCATCAACCATTGGGTGGGATCCTCTGGCCCAAGTCTCCTCATTTCTAAACATTAGGATGCTGTCTCCTTTCAGAACATATGTGAAGAGCACAGATATTAGGATCTGAAGTTCAAAGATTACTGCTTCTCTTAAAAATGTTTTTGATTTTGGAACGATTTTAAATGTACAGAAAAGTTACAGAGATAGTACAGAGAGTTCCCAATGCCCTTCACTATTTCTCCTAATGTTAGTTTTTTAAAAAAATGTTACCCTGTACATTTGTCCAAATTAAAACCCCAACATAGCTACATTATTATTAACTAAAGTCCAGGCTTTATTCAGATTTGACCAGTTTTTCCACTAATGTCCTTTTTCTGTACCAAGATCCAACCCCTCCCATTGCATTCAGATGGCATGCAACTTAAAATAAAAACAAAGATTAACAAGTGATACATTTAAGACAACTCAAATTGGACCTCAATGCAAAATGCTAGAATTTCTATGTTTGACAACTTTCCTTTAGAGAGTCTGTTCAGATCATAAATACCTAATGATCACTGAGGCCTACTAATGCTCACATTTATTATCTTGTATGCTTTTTTCTTCTTATAACTTAACGTGGGTTGGAAATACACCATTCGAGTGGACCAAAGAAACAAACTTCTCTCAAACCCGCCCTCACCACCTGCTTTGGCAGTAGGGCAGCCCACCTGGGGCCCCTTCAACTTACTTCCAGGCATCAGGTCAAAGTGCGGCCTGCCTTCCTCAGTGGACACCAGAGCAGCCAGTTTTCCTTCCAGCATCTCTCCGTCAATGAACTTCCCGTACAGTGCAGTCCTCTTATCCGGGTACACATAGGCTATCTTCTCTCCAGTCATCTCCCCGTCTTCATTTACTTCCCCTACCAGGCTGCCTCCATCCTGACGGGAGAAACCAAAATCCAGAAAAATTACATAGAGTATTGATCCATGTGACACACGTTTCAAGAAATTTCTCTTGTGCACCCCCTTGGTGAATAGCACGAATATGGACCCTAGCAGCTTAAGGACTCAGAGCTCTTCACATGAGTGAGAAACAGGTCCAGCCCCAGAGAACAAACGGCACAAAGCCCGAGTGAGAGCGGCAGAGGCTGAGTCACTGTGATGGTCCGGGACAAGTTACAGAGACTCCATCTTGGTCTGTTATCTAAGAACCAAATATGCCGTTTGTAATATTAGTTACAAGCAATGAAAGGACATAGAACTAAGTGCTACTTGGGGTCATTATTGAATGCGGTGAGTCTTATCTACTATCCATACAATCTCACTTCTCAATGTTGAGTTTTGGATTTCTGGTCAATTAAGAAAATCTTTAGTTCAAATGTATGTAAGAATTAATTTAGTGTACACGAGTAAAGAGCTGGCTGCGTTTTCTAAGAGATAAATAAAGGGACCTCTGGATAACTTGGAGTTAGAAGAGTGAAAAAAGATCAACGAAATTGCACTTGCTTCCCCATCACTCTTTCCCCCATTCTTCTCTATTTACTGCTCCCGGGGGCCTCCTTCCCAGAGAGCAGCCGGCTGTGTGTCCTCTTTAACTGCCATTTACTCCCTGCTTAAGGGTCATTAAATGCTTTAGGGCAGAGGCTGTCAGAATTCTACATCCTGGTAAGTGCCAGGGACACAGTAGGGGATCCATAAATACTTTTAGATTTGAACTGGGATACCCCAAAAATCTAAAAAATAATCTAAAGGTGTAGGAGATTTTCA